GTTGAAAAGAAGAGAAAAGACAGACAAAGACAGAGCTGAGGGACATGAGAGGAAAGATGGCAGAACAAACAAGAGGAAGAAATACCAGTACTGGCAGTTTGAGTGGGCTGACGTTGGCATTTAGCTCAAACCACTGTGCTGTACGTCCACTTCAGTGGCTGTAGCCTTGTTAGGAAGTGCTTGAAACCACAGTGTAAAATTAAATATATAACAGAGTCACAACAATACCAGCAATAGATAATAATAAATTACACATCTCTCACACACATAGCTATAAAATTATGTGTACAGTATATATTTAGCTCCTGTATCTGTGTAGACGAGTGTGAGTGCAGTATGACACATGTGTGGTTTAAATAAACGGACAAGAATACCAACTGGTGCAAGTGTTCATAAACAGTCTCTGCCACAAACACACACACACACACACACACACACACACACACAGTGAGGTTATTTTTTACTTTCTTACTCAATCTGTTTTCCTTGTTTTCCCTGTTTCTTTCTCTGCAGGTGTCTCTGTGTTTTTGTTCTGTTGATATGCATCTACTGTGCCTGTATCCTGCCACTGTTTGTTTTATATCACGCTCTATTTGATACTTTTCCTCTTTTTATTTTTCTCTCTTCATCTCAGTTCTGCCCTTGATTCCTTCGTCATGTTTTCCCCTTCCTGGTCTCATTTGTTCTGAGTTTATCTTAAATTTACTGTACAGTCTAATCTTTCCCTTTCTTCCCTTTTACATCTCCGTCATTGTCTTGCTGCCTTGTCACCTCTTTTCGTTCTCTGTCTTCTGTTTTTTATTTTACCTTAATTAACCTTTATTTTACCTTACCCTACTGAACCAAACCCTAACCCTTACAGTTGGCTCTACTTGTACCAAAATTAAAGGTTCACATCAGTTACAGTAGCTAAACACTGAGTCGAGGGTAGGCCACTGAAACAATATAATACACTGTTATTATTTTAATATTGCTACTTTAATCATCATCATCATATCATTTGCAAACTTGGTTTCTTTGATGCTATAATCTTTCTACATCTACACTTTTGTGCTCACACTTTGCACATGTCGCACAAACAAATTCAAACACAGGTTTGACATTAACATACACTGAGACTCCCCGGCTGAGCTGACACTGCAGTATGTCATCATCTCTGTTATGGTCATTGTACCTTCTGTTGTGTGTCTGTCTGCAACATTACGCCACCACTTCTGCTGTCTGATATTTTTATTTCACCTTGCAAAAGGACTCTCAAAACAACATGTTGTTGTATTGTAGGCTAACGGAAACACTACAGCCATCATTTTAAAACCGTCACATTCTCAGTCTCATTTTCATGGTCTGTCTACTTAAAGACTGGGAAATTCACAGGAGCCTTATTCACAGGGAATTGTTAGGGTGATTTTCATTTTTAGATAGAAATGAATATAATTAGTTAGGGTTTTCATTATATAGCATACATAGGTTTATATACTTTAATCTCACAGTTGTGTTTATGTTATGTAGTTACATGTCACCTTATGTGTTCACTGAATCACTGGTCAGTATAGTGTGTCAGTCAACTGGAGCACTGGTTAACATCAAGGGAGACTGGTTCACTAAAACACTGACTCTCATCAGATTTACATCTTTAGCAAAGAGGGTCCACAGATACTTTATCATCACCACCTGGCTGAAGAGGCCAAGGAATTTGGGGTCACTGGGACACCAAGGGTAATAAACAAGAGATTAGATCTAAAAGCCAACAAGAGGAAGACAACTTCAAAGGCAGGGCAATATACAGACACACACAGGCAAGACGACCATTGGAGCAGAGAGGATGATTGGAGGATGGATGGACTGAAGGACCAATCTTGGGAGAGTTAATTTTAAACCACAACTTCTCCCCAACAGTTTTGGACCAATCAGATAGTAACATCTTTTCATACATATATTGTATACCGCCAAGGTGGAGTCAGTGAAGATCCATGTGCACATGCTTATTTTGATACGTTAATGTATAATAAATTTCACATAGTGGAATATATATCTTTTTATTAGCCTTCTCTTTTCAAAATAAAAGAACTTTCCTCACAGAATGACCTGTTTACCGCGTGGTATAAAATGTAGCGAGTGAGTCACTCTTCTTGAAGAAAGCAGGTGCTATTTCCATTTTGGAGGGAAACAATGCATGAGAGCCGCCTGCACCGGCAAAGGAGGTGTGAACATATTCATCTAACAGCCCTGATAATTGTCCCTCAGGAGAAAATAAACCTGTTTTTACACACACTGTTGCAGGTCACATTTTTTATTTTAGGAATTAACAAGCATTGTGCCACAGCGTAACTGTGAACGTTGTTGCCATGGTGATATATTCCACCTCCCAAAACAAGAGGTCAGGTCCCACGGGGTTATGTCACTGAATGCTGTGTTTTTCCTCCAGTGGCACCTTATGTACGTCAGCATTAGACCAACAAGTCTGCTGAAAGCAAGGGTAAATAAAACACAGGCATCTCTAACACTCTTTGTTTTATACTCACAAGAAGGGGGGGGGTTGTTTTTATTTGGAAAGTTGGTGCTCTTGTGTCAGACAGTGAAGAAGTGGCATCATGTAAGCCCTCAGTACCTGGAGCCTTAGTAAACAGTGCTGACATACAGCCCTTTTCACACTGCCTGCCCACTCGGGGAAGGGTTGTGGCATTTGGTACCATGTGAATCTGTGACTGTTAATCAATGCATCACTGTAGACGGTGCACAACATCTTGGCTTGAGTATGAACCAGGTTGTAAATGTACAAGATTACTGTAGCAAAAACACTTAGTGCACTCATCACTGTTTTGCTTTGTACTTCCGACAGGCTGGATATCTGGTTTGGTGCGAATAAGATGATACCACCACTGTGGTTCAGTGGGTAGAGCAGTCGCCTCCCAACCAGAGGGTCGGTGGTTTGAATCTCGGTGCCTGCAGTCAAAGTGTCCTTGGGCAAGACACTGAACCCCCAAGATGGTCAGAGCCATTGGTTGAGTTGGCACCACAAATGGCTTCCTCGGTTCTGTACCGGAAACAAACATATTTGGCCAAATGAAGTTGATTATCCTTATAATCAAACATGAATGAAAGCAATAAATCTGTCACATTAATGACACGACATCTCCAATAAATCTGTCACATTAATGCTGCATGTTTCTTTGTCTACTTGGAAACAGGAGCCTAATCATATATTAGAAACTACTCCCTGGAGTCAGCCTCACAGCCTCGGAACCAGCTGAGCTGTCAGGTCCTTCTGAGCTGTCACACTGATAAAAAACAGATTACAGCTGAGGCTCCCAGGTGGATCAACACCCATCCATCCATTAATCCATCATCTATACCACTTATCCTGCAGAGGGTCACAGGGGGATACACCTGGACAGGTTGCCAGTCTATCAGAGGACTGACATAGAGACAGACAACCACTCATATTCACACCTACGTGCAGTTTAGAGTCACCAGTCAACCTAAGCTGCATGTTGGACTGTGGGAAGAAGCTGGAGCATCCAGAGGAAACCCATGCAGACTCCATGACCGTTCAATCGCCGTCTTCACACGAGGAACCTTCTTGTTGTGAGGTGGCAGTGCCAATCACGGCGCTGCTGTGCTGCCCGTTACAGACACCTGTGAACATAAATTAAATACAAAAACCTACCATGAGAAATCTCAAACAACACCATAAACAATACTGGTCATCCAAACAAAGAACCACCAACATCTCCAACATTTCAATAAACAACTTCCAAATTTTGATTTTATGACAAAACAAACGTGCACAGACTCTCGTGGGAGGTCAGTATGATTTTACATGGCTCTGTTTGCCATGAGAATCGCTCCCATTAGTTCTAGTTAGTACCTTAAAGCTGTTTGGTAGCTTTATCAGAGCCATGTTTGTCTCAGCACTGCATCAGGTGAGCTGAAGGCACAAAACAGGAAGAAGGCACCAGCACACACTGCACCCATAAAAGATTTCTCAGATACAGCTACTGTATGTTCTGGTTCCACCTTCTTTAATGTGAGGAGCTGATGCTTTTCTTTGTCAGACATGAGAATCAGCTGAGTCTCTGTGGATCTGCTGGTTGGACACAACAAGACGTGTGGAGACGCCACCTTTGGCTCTGGAGAGTCACGGTGGGACTTTTTCCCATTGTCTGACATTCTGGGGATAAACTGATCAATCAGATCATCAGGACAATGATCAGCTGATTGATCAGTGACCCCTGATGTTTGGAAGTCAACTCAGTTATTCGGGAGTCACCTGTGTATACAGTAAGTTGTAGCTTTATGTAAGTTTGTACAGTATCTTTATTTAGTGTAGCTGTATTTTAATTCTGCCTGGAAGTGAAACCAAACCAAACTCCGCAGTGATATCTGCTGAATAAGCTGAGCAGCAGCAGCAGCCTGCGCTCCTTCCCTCGTCATCGCTACACATGCAGCCACGGCGCTGTGTGTGTGTGTGTGCACTGTATGAGGGTACATGTGAGTGTGTTGTAGGCCAATAGTCACTCAGTTACACAACCACTTTCAGTTTCCGAGCCCTGCCTGCTTGCCTGGTGGCTCCCCGCCCACCGCTGCTGCCTCCCTGCCTGCCTGACTGCTGGGCGGACTGGGGCAGAGCCGAGCCGACCAGTTCCGTGTTCTCTTCTCTCCCAGTACGCGGACCTGGCTGAACGGGAGGATCTGGCACTGTCATGGTGGACGTCCGTGCCTGGCCGCTGAGCCTATAACTCCGCGAGCAGAAGGAAAGTGTGAGTGGTGAGGAATGTGTAGCTACTTGTTTCTTATCATTTCTGCGCAGATCGCGAATTCATCAGCCGACGTCGGGCGCGTTACGTTACAGCCAAACTTTGACGCTGCTGGCTGGACCTCGTCCCCCTCCCTCCTCCCTTCCCTTCCCCCTTTCTCGCTCTCTCTCCTGAAACGCAAAGTGCGTCGCCGTGCACACTGGCATGCGGAATTACGGTATGTCCACGCAACAATCCGCGTGCGCTGCGCTTCCCGTTCGTTTAAAGGCCGCACATGAAGCTCTGCAACTTTTACTGTCGATACGTGCTCCGTGCGTGGGTCTGCGTGTCTGCATGTGTGTGTATGGATGGATATACTGTAGAAGCTATATACAGAAGCGAACTGCGACATGCGCGTGTGCGTACACGAGCGTTTAATATGTGATATGTATTAGTGTATATCATTGCAATGTGCGTGAGTCCTTCACTGATATTGTTTTGGCACAGGTGACGTAGACCGTGACGCGCCTTAACGATGAGATAACCAGATCTGCTCCGTGTGAATAAATAACACGCCTGTGTGCGTATGTGCGCGCGCACGCGCGAGCGTGTGTATGTGTTTTCATTGACGGACTCTAAGGGGAGTTTCTGAGCTGCGCACATTAGATTTTTCTAGAATAAAAGCAACCGGGGCTGAATGAATCAGGAGTCTGGAGTGAAGCACTCAGTTTCCACTGTTAGCAGTTTGTTTGTGCCGTGAGTAAGCTGCATGAATTCAGCTCCGCATGCGTTCAGCACTGTTTACACACCTGACATGCACGCAGTGCATGCACATGCAGTGGGTCATGTAATTTCGAGACGATGGATGCTGCACATGAGAATAAAGTCTGCCCCTAATTGTATCATGTTTATGTAGGAGAGCAGCAGTTGGACAAATATACAGATAAAGTCCAGTGTGATGACGTAAATGAATGCCACCAAATAGCAGGTACACCCACCAAAACTCAGAGTGACTGTTTTGACACGAATGACATGTAGATTTATTGCAAACATCTCACTAAGTGTCCACCTGGATTAAGAACCAATCTACTCACCAACTGTTACTATGGTGATTTGCAGGATGATGATTATTTGCTGGTAACCTGTTCTGAAGTACCGGACAGACCGCTGTGTGTTTACAAAGGGAGTAAAGCAGGACAGTGTAATCCCACATCAGCAAACATTTACTGGCTCCCTCACTTCATTTACTGTAACACCATCCCATTAAAATAGTAATTTGCTCAGTAAATATGAAACTTCTGATGAGTGGGATTGTAGCCGCTGCTATGAAGCTTCAGATTTAGAAGCAGGGAAACCAAATTTCAACCATATCCGTCAAAACGGGGATGGAATGGGGCCAAATTGGGGAGGTTGGTTATTCATAGTAATGGTAATCCAGAGATGATGGATGCATGTAGGTCAGAACTGTAACAGCCCAGTGGGATGAATGTTCACGTCACTGTTAGTAAATAATCACTGTAATTACTAAATGTGACCAGCAACACAGCAGCAAGCCAAAAAGATCAGGAATGGGGAAAACATGATGGCGATACATATCTAATACAACTAGTGAAGTTCCTGTGCATGGTTGGAGTCAGCGTCTTGACTGTTTGATAAAGCATCAACCCTGATTTTTGTGTTTTATTCTTTCAGGTGTGAGTTGAAAGGTCGTCAGACAGTCCCGTGTCACCGTGTGCTGCACTAGCAGAGTGAAGACAGCAGCAGCAGGAGCATAATGCGGAGTGAACAGAGTGGGATCTCTGTCGTCAGCTGACCTTTGACCCTTCATGGACTAAAAATGGCCCTTAGGCTGCGACAGGACAGGAAGCGAAGCATCTTCAGCTGCAGGAATTCTGGGAATTTAAGGGACGTATTCCATTGAAGCAGCGCCGCACAGACTGGACGAGCCTGGCGTCTTCTTCATTTCAGTGGGACTGACATGGTTCAGTGAAGCTAGGATAAGGTTCATGTGAGAGATGTTTTTAAGGAAAAACTGACACGAAAACAGAATGTGAGTCAAGGATGGAGCAGGATTTTACTCAGTAGGTCCTCGAATCTCTGTCTCTGCACTGGCCTGGACTAACACCGGTGATGTTTTCAACCCGCTTCGACATATATCTCTCCTACTATTAATTCAGACCTAGCTGTTGTATCATTGTTGTGAATGGATAGCCGACTCTTCTAAGGTGAGAAGGCGACGCTTCCCCTCACCTTCAAACTGTGACTGACTCCAGGTCAGTGTCTTTGTGCAGCACTCCAAACATGGCTGCTACAGGAAGGAAGCACTTGGTCAGAGACTTTAATCACTTCATCACCTGTTACCTGTGTCGAGGTTACCTGATCAAACCGACCACGGTCACCGAGTGCCTGCACACCTGTGAGTGAAACAACAGACACAAATGCACTTGCAGACCGTTTATAGCATAAGGTGATAGCTTGGCCTGATAGCAGCTCTCTTTCTTTAATGAGTTTTGGGAGGACTCAAACAAGATGATGTCATCTGTCTTGACAGAAAAATGCAACTGAAGACACTAATTTAACCTCAGTAAAATATGTTGTTGTTGTCTTCTGCAGTCTGTAAGAGCTGCATTGTGCAGCACTTTGAGGAGAGTAATGACTGTCCGAAATGTGGCATCCAGGTCCATGAGACCAACCCGCTGGAGATGCTCAGGTGAGCTGTACCTCTCCTCTCACCTTTGCTTTTATTTGACTCAGCTTCTCAGCTCCTCCTCTTCATTAGCAGCTCTTCACCCTTCAGCTCTCGTCATTTTTTCCTGCTCTGTCTCTTCATGTTAAACGACTGTCATGTTGCCTTACTCGCATCTCATTCTTCCCTTATATTTTCCTTTTACGTTTTGTCCTTGAACCCTCAGTACCCTCAACCACTACTGCTTTGTCCTGTTTTGCTACATTTTAGCTGAACCTTTTTGCTTTGTCGTATCCTGCTCTTTGCCTTCTTTTATTTCTACACGACTTCCACTGCTGCTTCCTATACAGCTTCCTCACCACCTCTCTCCAGTGCTCCACCTGCATCTCATGCTCTTTTCTCTCCTTATTCTCAGGTTGGACAACACCCTGGAGGAGATCATTTTCAAGCTGGTGCCTGGACTCAGAGAAAGTCAGTTTGCCTGTTCTATCCATTGACATTTTTGTACAGTGTAACTTATTTTTCTTATGGTGTTCAGATGACACTCCACAGTTAACTACAGTATATATGCTAGCACTTATTCAACTACTCCTCCAGCTGTTTTAGTGCCATATACACAGATGACACACTGAGCTGATATGAGCTATGACCTTTGGCAGCAATTCATTGTACGATGTCTATAAAAACACTGTAGCAAACATGTGCTAACACCCCAACAATCACTGCGAACATCTTAGCACCTGCCTGCTAACACCATCTTCAAGAACACCTTATCAGTCATTTAGCATGATCCTGGCAACCGAGCTGCACTGGGCTTCAGTGCGGTGAACTCGCATGCTGTGCTCAGCAACACTGTGCTTCATGCTCCTAAGCAAAACAAACTACCAGCCACCAGCTCCTGACGTTCCCCTCTGCAATTTAACACGTCTTCTTACAGGCCAGCAGCGAGTTCCTGCTGCCATCAGTTTTGAATTCATTTGTCAGTGTCACATTAGTTGTAGCGAGGTGGAAGCAAATGAGTTTAAGACAAGATGAAGAAGCACAACCTTCTCTCTGTAGCAGGGTCAGCGAGAAGCCAAGTCAACATGTCTGACTATAGCCGAGATGGCACCATCATTTTATGACTCCATAACTTCTCTGCCACTGGCAGGCCGCTCCGGCAACCGGGAGATGGAGCAAACATTATTCTTGTGGCACTTAGTCTGCTGGGTCGAGCGGTGTAAAGATCAGCCTCGTATGAATTCTGTTTTATGGTTTTTGAAGAGCGGACTGTTGTTTTGTCTTTATCAGACACGTGCCACACTCAGGTGGAGCAATTCTTTGCTTTTGTCAGAGCGGGTTTTGTCATGTAGTCAACATTCAGCCAAAAAGAGCTTTTGTAGATTGCATTATAGATCCATGCTACTAGTGACAAGACAGTAGCTCCCAGGTACCTAGACAGTATATCATCGTGTGGAGTCATGGTAAAATTAGTGTCAGTGGCTCAACACCATCTCAGCCCAAAAAACAGTAACGCCAAGGCAGCATATTGCTTAGGTCTAGTCTGTCATGTCTCTTTTTAGGAACGTGTGTAGAGGAGGTTGTACCAGTCAAACATAAACCCTCCCACATTCTTCCATTAAACCCTAAAGAACTTAAACTGCACATTCGATTTGATAAACCGAGCTCTGAGCACAAATACAGTCAAAACAGGTTTTATCTGGACAGGACTTCAGTCACTGCGATGTCAGAATCACTCTTCCTTCTTTATCAGAGTCAGTTCTGTCTGAATGTGTTTCTGTGTCTGCTGTTTGCCAACACCATCATCTTTGTATCTGTTGTTCATGTTTGTAGAAGAGGAACAGCAAGAGCTTGAATTCTGGAGGAAGAACCAGCCCAAAGAAAACGGCCAAGGTGAGCTGTCCTTCAGGCTGTACATATAACTGAGCAGTATGATCTGCCTTTAGTTGTGAACCTTCTTCATGTGTAATGAGCAGCATTCTGTGTAACATACACACCGTGTTTGGGAGGAGGGAGGTAGACTGTAGCACCGCTCTTGTGGAAACTGAACCTTTACTGGTGGTTTTTTGAATGTGATCTCTTTTGATTCACCGTTTTTGTCTCGTTTCTTATTAGAGGAGAGAAATAACATCAACAGATTAGGGAAGTTTTTGATAACGTTTAGATTCATCAGCTTGTGATTAGTCATCAGATCTTGAGTCTGGATCAGTGCTGATTTCAGGGAGTTTCCTGTGTTAAGATGTTTTAATGCAAATAGGGTTTGTTCTTTGTAGAAAGGAAGATTTTAATGTTAAACTTTTTTGTCTTGTGATCCTGTCACATGACATTTTGATAGCTTTATAATATATGCTTTGATAAATTGATACAATTCTATTTTTCCTGTTTAAAGAAAGATTTTATTATTTATTTTAATGTAGTTTTGTTTGAAACCTTCTTGTTCATGCTAACTGTGGAGCGTGAGTCTCGGTGAAGCAGCTACATCACTCAGTGTGTGTCAAACCACAGCAGAAAACCTGAGGTGTCAGAGGCTCGGGCTGCCTGATGTTGGAGGCGACGGTGGTGACGGTGGTGGTGGCGGCGATGACGACTACCACAGGAGTGATCCTCAGATCGCCATCTGTCTAGACTGCCTACGCAACTCAGGGCAGTCTGGGGAGAGCACTGTCACGGTGTGTCAGTATGAATTCATCATTTATGTTCATGCTGTTTCTTTATCAATAGCTTTAAAGTTAGTTTTTATTGGTTTTTCTCGGAGAGGGAAAACGACACTGGGGGAATGTCTCCAGGCTGTTGCTGCCAGTTTCAATGTTCTGGAAAAAACTGACATTCATCTTTCAGTTGCCTCCCTCATTAAACCAGGGTATAACTGAATTTGTCTGTTGTCCAATTAGGATTTGATGAAGAGGTTCATCCGCTGCTCCAGTAGAGTCACTGTGGGAACAATTAAGAAGTTTCTCAGTCTTAAACTAAAGCTGCCCAGCTCATATGAGGTAAGGAACAGATTCCTCCAGTAACTAGCTGAAGGTATCAGCAGAGCCTAGCTCAAATAGCAATCCTCAAAAGCTAAAATAATATTTTAAACCTTTACAAAGAGTCACCTAAACTCCATACTGTGGTAAATACATACATTAATGTCTACATGTAATAAACTCACTATGAAGAGAGTGTAGTTGTATGTCGTCTTGCTGACCAAGTGAACATCACATGATTAATGCACATTTCTTTACCCGTCTACACAATATACTAAAAGATTAAGAGGTAAAGGCCTAAGTACGGTAACGTCATGTTGAGTGGTTTCATGCAGCCTACAGTTAGTGTCAGGTGAGGCTAACGGCTACGTAGCTCAGTGGACTATCAGGAAAGACACACAAACACAATATGCACAAATGTTAGTGAGTTTAATGCAAGAGAAGAGAATCTGAACAGCTTTTTCCAAATGTTTTATTATAAGCTATTAGTTATAATAAAGTACAAAACAATGACACCAAGTCCAACCTGAACCTTTATTAACACTTGACTGTGCAGATAAAGTTAATGTTTTTAAGCTAAAATAACTTAAAAATATTAACTTTAAGACAAATAAATCATCTGTAACACCAAACCAAGCCTCTATACTCTAATGCATGAGAGGCTTGGTTTGGTGTTACAGAGACCGCAGCACGAGGGACTCCAGTCAGCTTTGACTCAAACCGGTCAGTGTTTGTGAAGCCAGATGCTCATTAATATTCCGTCCCAATCATCATTATCACTGGTCAGCTTTATCAGAGGATTTAGAAACTGTTGGCTTGCACATTTGCTGCAGACTGAGCTAAAACTGGTGGAGCACACACACATTTAGTGCAGCCTCCCACTCGTTACCACAGAACTTCACTTCTCCCTCTGTTAGGACCTTTAGATTTTTCTTTGTTTCCCTTGTCATTGTGTTTCTTGTCATCTTCTGACAGGTTTTTGCATCACAGTGTCACCTTGACACCATTATCATATTGCCCACTTTCTTTCTTTCTTTCTTTCTTTCTTTTTTCATTTTGCCTTGGAGAAAAATTTACATTTGCCATGTTTCTGATCATATTTGTCCTCCTGTGTCCAGCTGGATGTGCTGTGTAATGGAGAGATCATGGGCAGAGATCACACTCTGGAGTTCATCTACATGACCCGGTGGAGGCTACATGGAGACAACGTAAGGCTGCCAGCCTCACTTCCTGTTTGTGTGCATGCTTGCATGCTAATGTGTAGATGCAGTGGCAAAGGAAAGCTTTCATTTGTGTATGGGGGGTAGGGTAAGGGCTGGGGATAGACATGCAGTTGTGATGGATAAGGTGAGGGTAAAGGGGCTAGGGGTGCTTTGTCTTAAGTGGAGATTTAAAATCACAGACGAGGGTCAGGGCGAGGCAGGCAGACGTTTCAGTATAAGTCAACGTAAGAATGAAAGTAAATAAATAGAATCTTTTCAGAATTAGTGCAACTTGGTGTGTTGGTGTCTGCATGCATGTGTGAAACTAGTGCTGCTTGAATGACTTTTCTGTTTCAATAGTTCTTGCAGGGAAAGGTTTCTGTTTGAAGAATCTTTCATGACTTCAGTTCTGTAAAAGAAGGAAGTCTGACCTCAGACTGGATGAAAGGAGCATTTTGTGTGTGTTATCATGTTGTTAGTTTAACCCTTAGAACCTGTCAGCTCGAAGGAAACTTTACTTTCTTGGGCCAAAAATCCACAAAAAATCCAAACTTTGTCTTAAACATTTACATGGTGTTTGGGGAATTTGTTCAAAGCCTCAGTTTGATCCTTTTAGCTACATTACATCTAAACTGTAATGCCTCAGATTTACATTCTGTGTGGTTTGTGCACCACCATGAGCACCGTACACTCACAGGGTCCCGTTGTAAACTTAGGGCTTTTTTTATTTTAGAATTCCACTTGGCAAACTTGAACCCTGTGGGTCAACTCTTCCTTCCCTAAAGTGTCGTGATTTGATTTTGGTTTGGACCTTTAAAAACCTTAATCTTTGTATTTCTCTTCAGAGAATCCACAGATTTGGTAGAACAGAGGGGGTGTAAACAACAAATTACTTTTCCTGGTTTGGAAAGTTTAGTGTTAATTCAGTATTAAGAGATTCACACTAGTGAGAGTCAAAGGAAATGTGAAACTTATACTCAGACACACACAAAAACACATTCCTAACTTATCCTTGTGAGAATCCTAACTTTATAACTTACAGCCCAAACCAGACCTAACCTTAAACCTAATTCTATCCCAGTCCCCAGACATAACCCTCAAACTCTCACTAAAGAAAAGAGAACTGGATAAAATAGCCTTCAACTTTCGCATTTGTAATCCTGATCAACATCAGTGTGAATGGAGGTTGGCCTAGAGGCCTACACACTGAGCAGCAAGAAGAAGAGCAAAGTCCAGAGAGAGTAGCAGAAACAATGATCTGTAAGCACAGGGGTGAGAAAGCAACTAGAGACTGTGAGAGGCGTAAATACGGAGTCCACATGATGCAGGTGAGGCTAATCGAGGCAGGTAACAAGCGAAGTGAAGCCGGATCCAATGAGGCTAAACACAGCAGGAGCATAAAGCAGAAGTCTGACGAGGACTGTGACAAAGATCTTCATGCTTAAGGTGATAACAGTAGCAGAGGAGGGGGAGCAGGAAGTCGGAGTGAAAGTAGAGATGTATTAAACAGGAACCTTTACACGCTGGCAGGATCCTTCGTTGCCTGAACTAAAAGACTCATGGGGTGGGCTCATTTCTCAGAAACAGTGGATGGAAAAGAAAACTGCATGTAAAATATTTGATTCCAAGTCATTATATAATCACACTGTGCCAGAAAACCACACAAAGCAGCCTTCTAACGGCCTTACTAATCCATTGGAATAGACGTCCTTGTTATGTTAAAACTTTCCATCTGAGCCTTTATCTCTTATGGAAGGTGGTGGACAAACATTATGTGAACTTTATGTTACTGGACTTGGGACAAGACAAACAAATAGTTCAGCGTGCACTGTTCTGGCAAGTAACCTCAGCAAGTAGCTGGTTACTCTTGTCTGGTTAAGGACGAGTACAGAGAGGAGTGATGGAGAGGGTGAGAGAGACGGGAACGAAGCCTGAGAGTCAGGAATGGAGACAGAGGAGGGAGATAAACAAGATTCAAGTGATTTATCAGTCTCACCCTCCTGACAGCTCCGCAGCTCCTTCCGCCATCCAGACACACGACCGCCTGTCAGGACAGCTACACTCACAAGGGCAGTGCAGAAAAACTGATCTGCCACAGCTGCTATCTGGACCAGAAAGCATGACATCCTAATACTGAAGAATAGGAGAGTGGGGCTGATGTAGTTAGGCTGAGGCTAATAAAACCATAGTTGCCCAAAAATAACCACCAGTGGATCATGTTTTAGAGGCATGAGCAGATATTGCAGGGAAACAAACACAGAAGTGAACATATTTCTTACAAAATATGTTTGCTAATGCAAATGAGTTGGACAGGAAGATCATTTTTCAGTTTCAGGGATTAAAATACCGTGACAGACAGTGGCAGCGGTCGGATCGTACTCTGTTGAAGGCATTCAGACCACAGAAGTTATTCATTTACAGGTTTACAGTTTTTACAGTGAGCAACATGTTTGGAATCAACTTTCTGCGTGTTCACCTGTCTCGGATTACACATACACTCAGAGGCCACTTTGTTAGGTACATGTGTACAGTTTATTGTAACGCTAACCCTGAAAACTTTATTGACCTTAAGATGAGAGAGACACTAGAACAAGACTGCAAAGGCCACAAAAAGACAATCAGATTTTCCTGAGAACAATGACAACACTGGTCTGATATATCACCTTGTGTATACTTTCCAATTTGGTGTGGGAATCAGCGAAACAGTAAAATTAAAGATTTGCGTGTTGGTTGAAAAATGCTGGTGTCCTAACCAGAGTTAGTTGTAAAGCCATGATAGTTATATATACAGGATTATCCTCATATCAGTTTGCTGGTGCTGCACATTGGATGATTCCACATTTCAGTCATTTGACACCAGAACCAAATCCCTTAGAATGATTTTGCAGCTGCACAGAACATGTCAGCGCAGTATCTTTATAGCATTTGGAGCCAGAGACGCTGAGTGAAAGAGTTTAGATTCAGAGGCACAGGAGGCCGAGTCCCGTTTGGGCAACGAACCACTTTGGTCACTAGGAATCAATCATGGTTGTGGTTATGTCTTGGGTTTTGAGTCACAGGGGACTTTTTCTCTATTAAACCAAAACCACCATCTCTCCTGGGCATGAACTCAAACTGTATACACTGACGTTCTTTTTTGCTTAAAGTTAAGACCTGACGCTAAATGTATTTTGATAAGCACCTTGAAAGGATGTGGTGAGCAGGCTCGCTTCCACGTGTCATAAGAGTGAAGCTGAACACTGCTGTTTGTTATACATCACACGATGGGTTCACTGTACTTCATACATATTAAAAGTTGAATTTCAGGACAACAGATTTGTAACACTTTGTACTGTTTACTGTTTTATGCTACTGAACCTGGCTCTATGTGACCAAGTATAACTTTAGGACCACAATACACTACAATTCAATTCAATTCCAAAAATAAATAACAGTCATTTATTTTATTGTCTGTGCATGTTTTACAGGCTTTTTATTAATATATTCTCTTTTTCAAAATGTTTTTCCAACACTTCTCCTGTTTCTTCAGTCAAACATCGTAGTTGGGTTTGGCAGGCTTTTTTGTGTGGGAGTGTGTGTCTGTGCATTTCAGCGCATCCCATGATGTTTTGGTGTAATAGCACCGTACACGTCGGTGTAACAACAACTCCATAACCAGGGATCTTCTGGCTTTAGCGATGCAGGATCTATCAGAGGGCTCCTCTTGGTGTTCAGTCTGGTTATGTTTACAGGGTAAAGACCAAAAGATTGATTCTCACTCTGAAAAATGTCTTTCTCTGTCCCTCAGACATATCCCATGGTTCTTGAGTATCGACCTCGTATCGACTTTGGCTGAGCTGCGAGAAGACGACCACACACACACACACACACACACACTGAAAACATTATGAACACCAACATTTGCACGTGGATTTACACAAGTACGCAAAAACGGCCACACTCATATGGACACAATGTACAGAGAAAGAGAAGGATTTCAATGTATTTTTGTACAGCCAACGATGAAGTGCATATGTTGTTATGGTAAAGAGGTTTTATGCTACATAGAATAATATATGCTATACTATAATATATGATATTTTTAAATGTATGTCCCTGTGCCTCTAAACCTGTTGAGATCAGAAACAAAGTACGACCATATCTCCACTCTGCCTGTCTAAGTCTGTAAATTAAATGTTGATTTTCTACTGTTGAAGGCTGTGTTAATGTTTGCCTCGTCGTTCACCCACTGTGTGAGTAACACGACTAACAGTTAAATAAATACAGTTATTTATTGAGTTAGCTGCTTGAATGTCCAACAAGGACATAAGGATAAGGATAGTCAGGATAATAATAACATCAAAAATGATCTCAGAAAGGCCAAAGTAATGTCCATCTTCATGTTCAACCAACACTGCTCCCTTTTGGTTTGTAGTTTTTATTTTGTTTTGACGTCTGACGTGGAGGTGTAACAGTTATCATCCATATCATTTTTGGATTGTTTCTGCCCTGAAGTTAGAGTTTGATTGTTTGATTGTTGTGTCTTGTTGCTTTTCTTCTTCTCTCTCTCCTCTATCCACTCACCCCAACCTGTCGAGGCAGAAGGCCGCCCACCAAGAGCCGGGGTCTGTCAGAGGTTTCTTTCGTTAAAGGGAGTTTTTCCTCCCCACTGTCACCAAGTGCTGCTCAGGGGGATTTGTTGGGTTTTCCCTATGTAATAATAGTAATAACAGTAAGGTCTAGACCTTAGTTTGTAAAGTGTCCTGAGATGACTTTTGTTGTGTCTTGGCACTATACAAATAAAATTGAATTGAATTGAAATATTAAAGCAGCATGAAAAGAAACAAAAGGGATACAAAGTCATACAAGTCAACTTTCACCTGGTTGTACTTTTATTTTTCACGTCATCTAGCAGTTCTTAAATTTAAACTATATTTTTCAAATTCCCTTATTGCAGTATCAATGCAAATGGAGATGTGTTTCTGTAACTGTCTTTAAAGGTCATATGTATTGCTTTTTTAATACATTTGAGTCTCATTCTTACTAATTCATGCTCTTGTTGTCGTCACTGGGCCTCATACTGAAAAACAAAACTAAATTTGTGGTCACAGGAACTTGTAGTTATCAAGCACTTTTCTATGAAATCAGGCACTTTCCAATATTATCTTTGACTTTATTCACACTCACACGCTTACACCGATGGCGACAACCACTGGGGTTCAGTGTCTTACCCGAGGACACTGACGAAGAAGCAGGACACAACCACAGATAAACGAATCCTTGATTTTTAAATCCTGTCTGCTTTGTCTAAATTGAGTCCTATGTCTCTATTTCCATTTGATATTCAACAACATGTACAGGGGGGGTATGGACTTGTCTCTGTCCTCTGTGGGTTTGCCATGTGTGTCATCATCATCATCATCATCATCATCCTTTATTAACAGACTCAAGGTCTATACAAAAAAGAAAAAAAGAAAGGATATAAAAGAAGAAAAAAAATAAAAATCATAAAAGACATTTATAGCAATGTTTCCACAGAGAGGATTGGTAACGTACTACACTAAAACCAGGATTAGCCAGCATCATTATAAGACTGTTCTCAGAGTTATTCACACGACAGATAAATCTGTACATCAGGTTTCTCATTAATGCCTGAAAGGTACTAACATGGACCTGTGAACACAACAGACTGGCGCTGGTGGACCTAGGCTTCTTAAGCAGAATCCTCAAGGCATCATTATAAGCAACTTTAAGTTTCTGTAAAGTAGCTACCTTATATTTACACCACAATGGGGCAGTATACAACGGTGTACAGTATGTTCTGAACAGATGAACTTTAACATTAGCAGAACACATGTGAAATTTCCTAACCAACATATTAGCTTGAGCATACAAAATGCGACACTGCCGATATATATCCTCATCATCAGAAAGCTGATCTGTAATGAAATGTCCTAAATATTTAGTTTTTCTACAGACACTCAACCTTTGTCCAGACAAACAAAAGTCTGGGAAACAAAGTTCTTTGTCCCCTTTAGTCCGACAGATCAGTACAACACTCTTTTCTGCATTATATTTCACATCATACTTCAATCCATAGTCCGAGCACACATTCAGCAGTTGCTGAAAACCAGCACTGCTGGGCGAAAGTATGGCCAAATCATCAGCATACATAAAATGATTTACAAGATTAGGGCCTATCATACATCCAGTGTTACATTTATTCAATTGTTCAGACAACTCATCCATATATAAGTTAAACAGGGCTGGTGACAGTAGCCCCCCCGGCGCATCCCATTACCAACACCAAACGAGGCTGAAATAGTCCCACCCCATTTAACCTGCATCTTCTGATTAGAGTACCAGTATGCCAAGATTCTCACAATGCTATCAGGAACCCCTTTTTTGCTTAATTTATCCAAAAGCTTAAAGTGATTAACCCTATCAAATGCCTTGGACGCATCAATGAAACCCATCAAGACCGAGGAGTTTTGTCTGAGGTACTTCTGTGCTGCCTCCTTCAGACTGTAGATACACAGATCTGTCCCCAGCTTGGATTTAAAACCAAACTGATTATGTGTGGTTGTTATACAATGACACAGGCGATCAAGTAATATCTTCTCAAGAACTTTAGATATAACAGTGGCCAAAGCTATTGGCCTATAGTTATCCAGACTCCCAACTTTGCCAGCTTTGTCCTTCATAACAGGCACTAAGGTAACAGACAATAGAGAATTATGTGTGTGGGTGGAAGGGGGATTAATGAGTTATCAGTAGTGAAAGTAACAACAAGAAGACACTAGCAGCAGTGAGAGTTTCTGTCTCCACACTCAGAACACAACCTGTGTTGTGGCTCAGTGAAGATGCCGTGGGAGGCCAACGGAGTTTCACTTCTTCTGGCTGAGTTCATTACATGCTGTCAAACAGAATGAAACTCTTATCTATCATTGTTACCACTGTATGTTCTTGTGACAAATATTTACATTTTATTCACATTTGTTTAAGTATTGTTCATACTGTTGAACATCAGCATCTAAATAATGAGTCACTCACAGAGCGTTCAACCTAATCTCATGGTCTGATCACAGGGGGGATTGGATCATTATCTTTCCTCTCACTGTACAAGCAGAACTTTATTGATTGTTTCTCATAAATTAACGCTTCAGTCTGAATTCAGTCGAGTTTCACAGACAGCCCTTGTCACATTAAACTGGATCCTGAAAGCTCCTCTGAGTCCTTCAGCTCTGGACTCCTGCCAGCCTGCCAGGCAGAGCGAGACAGAGCAGTGACATCAGTGATATTGAAGGCAAACTGTGTCTGGCACAGGACACGGACGTGTCTCGTCTCCGCAGCTCAGGCGGACTCACTGACAGGAGCAGCGTCACGTCTGAGCTGCAACCTTGGAGAGTTGACCATGTCCTTTGGCTATAAATATATTATCTTCTAAGGACACTAAGTATGATTGGGCTTCAAGGCTGAGTACACATTTGTCATTGAGAATGAAAGTTCATTCTTGGCTATGAATAGTTCATTGCTTCATAAGCAAGAGAAATGTTCTGATTAAAGACGAGTTCCTGGTCAGACTGACTGTAAGACTCTAGGTACTGCCTTCAGAATCAGCCGAGCACATTCAGGTTCCTCTGAGGACAAACACTGTTGACATTCTATGAGTTTTTCTCTGGTGTAGTGGACGACGGTGACCCCACAGGGGTCACAGGTCACAAATATCCATCTACTTTTATTTGAATGTGATTCTTAGTGGATTTTAAAGACAAGATGACCAAAATGTCAACTCCAGTCGGCTCAACAGGTGGAATAAATAAAAGAAGCACTTGACAGTTTCATTACAGCAGCCTTGTAGTAAATCCCCGGTAACAGCAGTGGCCTACATCTGGCACTCCTGGCTGCCAAAAACCTGTCAGAGCTGTGATGTATGATCCATTACAACCAGCTCAAGCCCAAAGCTGATTTGTACATCCAGATCAGTCCAGATCCCAAGAGTGGTGCCACAACACAGCTGTGAAGAGCAAATGAAAACATTTCCCATGCATCAAGTACCTTGAGTATGCTGCCTCTCACTTCACTGTAGTACTGTAGTACCTCCAAGGACAACAGCTTTACTGTGTCTCTTGTGTATGTCAGAGCTTTCTTGGTTATGGGAGTGTGTTGTTATTGATGATGATGATGACATGCACCGTGAGCGCAGCCACTTGTCATGTCCATGTACTGAGGGAGTTACTTGCAGCTGGTGACGATGCCACGGGAGTGACTGAATGACTACAGACAGGTCAGAGGTCACTCACATTTCTCAGCGTGAGGGTCCAGGAGGCGGCGTATGCAGCACAGTAGTGAGCCTGCCATGAGTTTTCATATGTGGCAGAACTGGTTTTGGGGTTCTCACTGGCTTCAGATTCAAAGCCATCGTCTCATCAGCCCTCACAGAGGCGTCTAATGGGCCAGTGTTTCAGGACAGGAGACCAGAGATCAGAAGACATACATGCACAAACACACGTAAAGTGCACCTGTTCATCGTCATCATCATCTCCCCCACACACACCCACTGATCTGCCAGTCTGGGTGTGTCGGTGACGACTTGCTCCAGACATCTTGGTGGAGCCTCTGTTGTAAGATGAGCTGATGGTTTCTTACCTCTGGGTGAGTCACTTCACACCACCACTGAGGGTCTGTTGTCAGCTTGTCCTTTTATCACTTGTGTGGACATAAAAACACCACATTACATGTAGTTTCTTGTTCCTCCTCTGAACTGATTTCTGTTTGCTCACTGACTGCAGGAAATCATCTTTTTTGAGTATATGAGTTCTAATATAATTTGAAGTACAGGTCAAATAATACTCTCATTACTTTTGGTTAACCCGTATTAGTTGGTTTTTGGTTGTTGGGGCAGCTGTGGCTCAGCAGGTAGAGCGAGTCGTCTCCTAACTGGAAGATTAGTGGTGCGATTCCCAGCTTGTCCAGTCCACATGTTGAAGTGTCCTTGAGCAACACACTGAACCCCAGCTGCTCCTGGTGAGCACTCAGCCACTGAGAACAACTAACCATCACGCTCACGTAGATTTGGGGACTGTTTCCTGTTTGTCCTCTTACAGCTGCTGTACTTTCTGAAAAGGTTGGCGACTGTCTCAGAGGAGATGCTCTCTGTCCTGAGATTCCAAAGTAAATTATACAAATTATGCTTCAACTCACTGGGAGCAGTTGGAGAATAAGTTCAAGTTGAACGTGCTGCCTCTCGCTGTGAGTTTCAGCCGTGAATGAAGGACCTTGTGGCCGATTCTCTCAGGAGCTTGTCCTTGCAAAATGAAAATGAGTCTGGCCTGTGAACCTGGC